GAGATAAGGTAGTTAAAACAATCAGCCCAGAACGAAAGAGATACAAACTTTGATACAAACAATGTGGAAATGGCGGAGCTCAGTCCAGTGATAAAATATGCACTGGCTACTGCTGCTGCTACATAAGAATATCTAGCATTGTCGTACAAAAATAAGAAACAGCCCAATATTGTCCTGAATCCTAAAAAAAATAAGAAAAAGAAAAGTGAGGGTAAACAAAAACCCTATCCCTCCGCCTCAAATACTTCCATGGTTCTAACTACACTTAAATTGATAATGCACAATACTACTACACATTAGAGAGCTAACAGCAAAGCTAAAGAAGTTGATGCAGTCAAGTTCCAACTGAAGCCACCCCTACTGGAAACAAGTCTTCGTTATTATGTTGTGAAGAAGGTCCATAGCTTCTTTCCTATTGAGGCTTCACCAGGATGTTCAGACTCTTCATCGTCATCATCTTCTTCAATGGGAGTACCATTCTGGGATTCACTCCTGTACTCATCTCCATCAACAAACTCTTGACCCCCTTCTGTTGAACCATTCACCTCTTCACTAACTGCCGTATTCTCTTCCATATTTTTTATTGCATCTGCATCACCATCTTGAGTGTCTCCAAGAGTCCCACACTGAGCACAGAGGAAAAAAGAGAAAACACATCAGAAAAATATTTTGAAGAACCAGCTTTTGACTTCTTGAAAGATATAAAAACATGTGATGTGAGGACAGGTCAGCTCTTAACATGTTTTCTTAGACATACTGAACTTGTGTAGTAGAAATTGATTCTAATCCATAAAACAAATAGAAAGGCCTCATTCACACCCACACACACACCCCTTCATCCTATCTAGTGAAATTTTAATGGGCTAGTGAAGATGCCTACACTCACCCGCACCAAGTGTGTGCTTCCACCATTCTCGCGACCAACTCCTATTGAAGTAGCAAGAGCAGCTTTAGAGTAGTGCTCAGTAGCTCTAGCATTATCGACCTCTTCCTCGTTATCTTTGACAAGGTCACGCGATGCACTTGCAGCAGCAACTGTAACTCCACTGATCACATAACGTGTAAACTTACAAGTTAGTTTCATGGAATGACCACCATAGAATGGCAACAGGATCATAAGTTTTATCCCTTTCATGATGCTAAAAAATAACTTTTACATCCATTATCTGATACAGTGCTCTAGAAATAATTCTTAATTGTGGTAGCTTTATTCCAACCTAAAACAAATGATATTTCAATTCAAGAAGCTGCAATGCATTCCAATGTTTTTACATGGTACTTAAGATATAACAATTTAAATACTTACATTTTGGGTCGCCGTAGATTGTATCGACTTTCCCCTGGAGCTTGCTCAGCTGGAAGAACTTTTTCTCGCCTCTTCTTGCGCTGGGCACCCATGACACTGTCAGAACGTCCTTCACTATCATCCCCACCACTCACAGTGATTTGAGATGTCTGAGCACGGCCACGCTTCCGTCCATTTCTAGCTGATCTTTTATCGGCAAGACTAGAACCACCATGGCTTTCAGTATGCATATCAACAGAATCCTCAGCAGTCCCATTTGCATACTCACTGTCATTT